AAGAACAGTTACTTTAGATAAAAAGAAAAATTTCCTTGAGAGCTATGTATTGTTCAAGATGAAGAAGTCACAAATGATTTAATTTTATGTAAAAGAAAGTGAAGATTGTGTCAGATGGATTGCTGTCCTTGTTCTGTCTGTCGATCAAAGAGAGATTTAACGATCAATAATCGTTAAAGGCATCAGCTTAATGTGCATTTGACCTATCGATGCAAAGAAAAAATCAAATAGTGTGAAACTGTTGATCATTTGTCTCCGTACAATGCCTTTTACCATTTACATAACCTATATATAAAGATATATATTCAAATGTATATTTTACTCGTATGAGAACATTATCATTTATTGAACTAATTTCACTATTACGCACATGCAAACGTATCACCATTACGACAAATTGAGATATGTCTACATTCTTCTTCTATTCTTTCTTCTTGCTTCTATCAAATCAGCTTTAAAAAAAAGAAACTATTTCAGATATACATTCTTTTCTCCTAGACGGACATGTTGGCACTTGATGAAAAAGAGTGAGGAGAAGAAGAAGAAGAAGAAAAAAACGCGATGTTTACAAAGTAAGTATAATAATGATGAAATAGTCGTCTTATTCTGTAAGAGGGATTAAATCGAAAAAAAATAGATAGTATTTGACTTCCTACGCATAAACGAACAAATCTATGTATGTTTCAATTGTTCATTCATTTATTTTAGTATAGTTTAAACAAATGCATCACTGTCTCTAAATCCTTTTTATTCTTAGTGAACATTACGATGTGGGTGATGAATATAAAGGCTTCACACCATCTTCATACATATACATATACATATACATATATATATGTATACAATATGTAATCACGAACGCACGCGTATACATAAGTAAAGAAAACAAGAGAGATCGAGTTTGCTTGATTAAGATAAGCTTGATTGCTTGAGATGAGGACAGGTGTAATACATAGGCTTGACCTCCATCTATTTCTTAAGACAAGGGTATACCACTTATAATTTTCTTGTCATCCATATCGCATGTATGTGTGATTTGACCCATTGAAAAGAACAAATGAGCGGTTGTATCGTACAACACTTGAGACATTCATCGAGAGAATAAAAAAAAATGAATAACGATCACTTGTTGTCTTATTTTTTTTTTATAAAAATATTTTGATAGTATCTCATATATATACAAACAGGTAATCATTTAAAATAAAAATAGAATTCATTAGAATATAATAGTATTAATCCTACGAGAATGATTTGTTTGTTCCGTTAGACATACGTATACGGTCGATTTCTATTTACATGTCTAATTTAACTCTTCGCATTTCAATGTGAAATGGATATTCGTTCTCTTGTGTCAATTGATTAAAAGTCGGATACAAGAGAAGACAGAAACAAAAAAGTGTATCGAGGAGAAAAGAGTCAAGTAGACAAAATTTTGAATATAGATTTTATTTTAGATTGTGTCTGTCAATTAGAACATACGTAGATATGAAGCATATCATATGGTTTATATTAATAATTTTAATAGAATTTCAATTATCGGATGGTAAGAAAACAATTTTTATTTGAAATAATTATATTTTTTTTTGATTTTATTTAAGGTGGATGTCCAAAAGCAACATTCGAATTTTTTAATAATACAATAAATGCACCCTATAATTTCATTGATTCATCAGTTGGAAATATTGGATCATTAGAAACATGTCCCTGTAGGATTTCTTATATAGAAAATAATTAAATTTTTATTTGAATTTTCTAGATACGGGTCGTCCATATGTTTATCTACCATGCTATCCAAATTCATCATGGGGTAATGAACCTTATTTTAGTACTTGTTTAAAACAACCAGATAAGAATACAACACCAATAATTTCAACATCATTCTCTTCTGATGTTAATCCATTCTTAACAATGCCAATTGAGAAAGTTGCTGAAGTAAATTTTCTTTTTTTGTGACAATCTTTTCTAATCGATAAGTTTTTAGTTACCTATTGAAACTTCGAATGATGTATCTTATGTATTATCGTATTTAAATCAACAAACAATGACTTTTAAAACACCATCAGATATTGCTTCAGCTGTAAAAATAATTGATCATGTAACATTAAATAATGCAAATAGTAGTAATGAGGTTTGTTATCGAAAGAAATTATTTTCAAAAACAAAAATTCTATTGTAATTATAGATACAGTCAGAATTTTATTCAATTGCAAATAAACTTTTATCACCAAATTCAATGCTACAAATGCAAGAAGCACAAAAAGTAAATCGTAGTATTGTTAAGTAAGATTTCTATTTATTCTATAATATAAAATAAACTATTTCTATTAGATTAATATCATCAGTAGAGAAATTTTCTCAAAATTTCATCTCAAACAAATCCGATGAAAATTTTGTCGAAAATAATTTAGTGGTCTCAATTGTTAATATGCCAAATAATCGTACCAAACCAATTGTTGGTTTTGCATTTGGTTCGTATATTTAATCATTCAATAGATACATATATATATTGAGGTCAGTGAGAAGTTAAAAGTATGCTATCATTATATCATATAAATTTTGACATCGATCAATTTATTGTGATCGAATATAATTATATATGTATGATAGAAAATTGGAGATAAGAAATAATTTTACTGTAACCTCAAAATTTCTACTTCGATAAATTTAGATCCAATAACAAATCAAACATCTTCAATTGGATCTAATGAGATGATAAAAAATTCAACAAGTATAATGCTTGATTCTCAAGCTTTATCACAACAAAATCGTTTAACATTTTCTGTTTATAATCATGAAAATCGTTTATTTGATGAAGAATCTTATCGTGTATTAACACGAGTTATTTCTTTAACGATTGATAAACCTGAATTAACAAAACATCTTCAAAAATTTGTTAAAATAAATTTTTATCTTGAAAATAATTTTCAACATGAGAATAAAACGATAACTTGTGCGTATTGGCATATATTTAATAATATGACAGCACAATGGTCAACTGATGGTTGTCAATTAATTAGTATAAAAGATCGAAATGTTATTTGTGAATGTAATCATTTAACACATTTTGCAATTTTAATGGTTTGAAATTCAATTATTTTATTTCTTTTATTTTCTTTGTCTTTCTAATTAAAGGATATTGAACAAAAACCAATGTCAGAAGCAATGAAACAAGTACTTTCGATCATA